AAGACAATTTCAAGGAACAAAATCTTAGAATTGATGTTTCCAATGCAAATCAGCCGCGCCCTCACGCCATCAAGCCAAATATGTCCCCAAATATGACGTCACACCCGCTGTGCCAGCAGTATGAGGCCAAACGTCAGCAGGGCTGTGCGATCGGCGCCTCACCTTGATGAGCAGCAGCGCCTCGGTGAGTTTCTCGCCGTCGTAGTCGTCCGTCTGTGAGCGACACAAAACAAGCGTCAGGAGCCAATGCTGGTGCCTCACCAAAAAATAAAAATCTGCTGTTATAAAATGTAATCAGTGGATGTGTGCCTTTAAGGGGCATGGCCAAATCAGTGTTGTCATTTTCCTATTGTATTCATGTCTGATTGGTTCTCCCTTTCTCAAAATGGCCGAAAGGGCATCGGTGATTGTGGCTCTCCTTGCCCGCATGCGAAGGCATTACACGCGTGACCTTCACGTTTGGCCTCCATTCCACTTGAGCTCATTTCTACATCTGATTTTGGCTCACAGTGAAAAGCACAGAAAAATGTCGGGCTCGTTCTGGCTCCGAACGCTGAAAAGCGCCACATCAAGATGGCAGCGTACGCGCACGTCGCCTCACCCGGCTGTAGGCATCCACGCGGCGTTGAAGCTCCTCAATCTCACGCTTCTTTTCGGCCAGCTGGTGCACAAGCTTGCGATTTTCTTCCGTCAGATTCTCGCAGGCATCTGAACAAATACGACATGCTCTCGAGTTAGGACAAGGGGGTGGAGCGCGGTGACATAAGGGCTGGGGCGGGCAAATTTGTTTTCATCAGGATTGCCTGATGATCACGAGAGGGTTGACGGTGTGCCAAAACTCCCACTGTGGTACATACAGTGATCAAAATCAACGAGGAGAGATTAAATTACATGAATAAAAAACAGCTTCTATCACGCGATGCCATTCATCTTTTCTTCTTAGTTAAGTTTCAAATTTCTTTGACTTCTGGAGATACAAAAGAGAAGCGCCGCCAAATTTGTCCGAACAAGCACTGTGTTGTTCTTGCAAGAATATGAAATCATCTTTCAACTTTTCCAGGTGTGCTTAGCGCTCTGAAGTCACTCTGCGTGAGTGACCCGTTTGAGTTTGACACGTGCGTGCCGGATACCGGTAAGTGATTTGGGTGTTACCTCTTTCAGCTTTGACCTCCTCCAAGATCTTCTTCTTGTCCTGCAGGTCGCCTTGCAGCGCCTGCTCCAGCTGAGCGATGTGCTGCTGAAGCTGCCGCTCCTGAACGCTCCACCGCTGCTGCTGGGAGCCGTCCAACATGCTGCAGGCACACACGCACACTCACAACATTGTCGCATTGCCCTGCTGCGTATTTCAACCCGTCGCTTGTTCGCATTGAAAAAATAAATCGTGCTCCGGTGTCATCTTATAAGCCAGTCGCAGACACGGAGCTAAATTGAAGTGAGTACGGGAGTTACATTAAGACAACAAATAGAGCTTTGCTGCCATCTTGGTGTCAAAGAATTATCTTAAAGTGATTTACGGAGTTTTATGAGAGAACATGGGCTTTTTCCATCAACTTGTGACATCAACGGGCAATTTTTTAAAAAATGAACGGAGGGGGCATCAATTACTTGATCATTTTTCACCAGTGGCAGGAGAGTCACTGTACATCTTTCATATTTACTCTGGAAAAGAACTCACGATGGTCTGACTTGCTTCAAATAAAACAGAGACACACACACGCACACACACTCACACACCAGGGTAACAATCATTTGGGAGTTTTCTTTATGGTGTGTTTCATTTTGATTTTCATTTTTTAATTCAATTAGTTTGAATTAATTTTTAGAAGTTTTTGTACTTTATTTTTTTCAAAATGCTTTCTTTTAGTTGATTTTTTTTAATATAGGTCCTATATTATTTGCCACGTGCAAGATTTTATTTTAAATGACAAAGTTGTGCAATAACAACAATTCGTACAGCAATTTTGAAATAATAATAAAGGTGTAGTCTCAGCGTTTTGTTGTTGTTGTTTTTTTACATTACATTTTACATCATTAGTTTTCGCTTATTATAGCAACTTTGAGACTCACAGGCGATAGTCACTTGTGCTGCGTTCAAGCGCCTCACCTATTAAGCAGTTTCTCGTTGTGCTCCTTTAGAAGCTCTTTCTCCTGCTCCACCTCGTCCACGCGCTCCTCCAACTGTTGGCGAGAAGAGATGTGAGCGCCGGCGGGCAGGGGGAGGCAGGGACAACGGCAATGGCGGCCCTAAAAGGTACCTGCCGCATCTTGGCGTGCGACAGCTGCTCTGTCTGCAGCTGCGTCCTGAGCTCCACGCTCTTAGCGCGCTCGTCCCTCAGCTGCGACGTCAGCTCGGCCATCTTGGCTGTGGCGGCATCATAACATGCCTTCTGCGTGTGCTGACTCTGAAAAACAGGCCCCACGCCCGTCTTGAATATGGGAGGCTTGAATAAGAGACAGTGGATCGAAAGCCTTTTTGTTTTAACATTTTTTGAGACACTGAAACACACCAAGACTGGACATCATGCGCAACAAACAAATAAAGGTTGATGAATGTTATACAGACGGGGGCGAAGGCATACAAATGGATTTAAATTGAAAAGTGTGGACCGTCAATTTCAAGTCTGCCGCGCTACCCAACGAGCCGGCTGAACACACATCTCATCCCTCGCCAACGGGCGTCACGTCACCTCTTGCAGTTGTAGGAAGCGCTCCTCCAGCTCCACCATGGCGTTGCATCGCTCCGCCAGCTGCTTTTGCAGTTTGATCATGGTCACGTTGTTGTTGATCTGCGACCTGTCCCACCACCACGGCCATCCTCCTCATCATCATCATCATCATCATCATCATCGTCAACGGCATTTGGGTGAGTTCTACCTGAGTTCAGACTTGTTCTGCTGCTGAAGCGTCACGTTTTTCTCTTCCTCCAGCTGAGCGATGCGACGCTGCTGCGACTCGATCACGTTTTCTCTGCCACGCAAAACATCGGGACATTGTCAACATATCATTACACCGGCAGGAGCCGCGACGAGGCCTCCTGCCATTGGCTGACGAGCCGCCGGGGCATTGTAGCGTGCAGCTCTCACAGGTTTCGGCTCTTTTCTCGCGCTTCCTCCAGCAAAGCGTGCAGGTACGCCGTCGGCTGGCCGCTCGGTGGCCGCTCGTCACCTGCCGCGCTCCTGGCGCCTGAGTGTGGGGAACGGACACACGACAGTTGGCTTGTGTCTGACCATGACATCGCTGCGGCGTTTTCGCGCCACTCACGTCTGGGCGGCGTGGGCGAAGGAGAGGAGGCGTCGTCAGGCTTCCTGGGGGCGGAGGCGGCACGTGTTTGGACACGTGTGTGAGACGAGCGCGCGGCGGGGGACAAGGCGATGAGCTGCTGCTGTTGCTTGGCCACGAAAAGACGCTGCCTCAGCTTATCGTTGTCGGTCTCTAGCGCTCGCACCTTCTCCTTAAACTCGTCGACCAAGTCCTCCTTCTCTGCGTCCCACCGCCTGGGCACCATCGGAGCGCCCCCGCCTCCGGCCAGCTGCTCCATGCGACGGCGGTCCTTGACCAATCTCAGCAACTTGGTGCCCAGCCTGCAAGATGGCAGAACGATGGAGCGTGAGGAGAAAAGATGAGCAAAGTGGGCAACGCGCCATCTCACTTCCTGATCTTGTCCTCCTGTTGGTGGATATGTTGCTTAAGGAGCAGCGATTCATCGTGGAGCTGCAGAAAGTTGTCCTCCAACTCCTTCCTGGACACCCGCGACACGTCCACACGCACCCGCGCATTATGAACGTCTAATAAGATAACAAGAAGATGGAGCAAAGACCTCCCTGTTTGCTGCTCGTATCTTTCTTCTTCCACAACCAAATCCACTTCGACACACATCAAGACAGACCTTGTGCAGCTCTGAGCGGCTGGCTGATGTCTTTGACAGGTTCCTGCACTGCTGTGTCATCCAGTAGAAAAGACATCTTTCATGCTTAAAACAAAAGACAGACGAACGTTAAACCCATGTAGAGGCTGGACAATGTTAAATTTATGAGTACCGCGACACACATCAAGACAGACCTTGTGCAGCTCTGAGAGGCTGGCTGATGTCTTTGACAGGTTCCTGTACTGCTGTGTCATCCAGTAGAAAAGACATCTTTCACGCTTAAAAAAACAAAAGCCAGACGAACGTTAAACATATATAGAGGCTGGACATTACGTTAAATTTATGAGTACCAAATTCAGACGTGGTGAAAAGAAGAAGAAGCGAAAAAGATTGTGGCGGATCCCAATGTTAGCATTCGCCAACTAAAACTAGCTGCCAGCTCCCTCTTCGAGAGTGTCCATTCATGAACCAACTAATCATCCATATTGAGTATACATTTTTAAAAACAAACTCGAGAAACTTGAGGTACTTAGAGGACTTTTTGCGTCCGCGCGAGGTTCTCAATGAAGAGCGTTGCCAGTGTCAACAATCGGCATCTTTTCGCAGCTTTTTCTTCTTCGTCCAATCCCCTGAAGAGCGCTCATTGCTGCCTCCCACTGGTCATTGGCTTCATTACACCTCAATTCATTTCGTTTGCTCTTCCTGTTCCTGTTGTTTTTCATCCATCCATCTTCAACACCGCTTGTCCTGAACAGGGTCGCGGGGAGTTGCCGGAGCCTAGCCCGGTTGACTTCGGGTAGAAGGCAGACTACACCCTGAACTGGTCGCCAGTCAGTCGCAGAGAAACAACCATTCGCACCCACATCGTCACTACTGTAAGTGAGAACCGATCCCACGCTGACCGCACAAAAGTCAGGAGAGTGTACCACTACACTCTACATATAAGTGCTTAATTTTTTCATTACTTAAATTAAAATCAACCAAAAATGGTTTTGCGATAACAATTAAAGACATTTTGATTAACCAATCAATTAGGCCAGAATAAGGAACAAAGTGAACCCCTCCCCCACCCGCCTTCTGTATTTTTACACTGATGACCAAAAGCAATTGTTTTCAGTGACATTGACACATTTATTTCATACTATACTAATACGTGTTATTCATAAGATCATATACAGTATGAAATGCAATCCAGTGTGGCTGTGTTGTTAACACTTGATCTGCCCTCTTCTAAGCATACACTGTAGACTTTGCTCATGTATATCATGTGGTGTACAATATCTTTGATATCTTGACGTCTTCTGCAACACTTGAGTATAAAGCTCTCTTCATTCGATTTGATTCGAATGTTTGAAAGGCTCGTTGAGGAGCACGGGACGGCGATCAGATGCCCATGTAAGTGTTCATCTTGCCGAGTGCATCGCACACGGTGGTCAGGTCGCTGCGGAGGTCCTGCACCACGTCCTCGATGCTGCGCGTGTCTTTTAGGAGATCCATGCTCTGCGTGTACGGGTTGTAGTACACCGAGAATGGACGCTTGATGGTTTTGGCGAACTCTCTGAAAAACAAAGAGTGAACGCTCATTTGTACATTTATTTCATGCAAACAAGTCACTTGTGGACTGAAAGGCATGGCACCCTGCTGGGCTGCGTCCTTGGACCCCTACTGTATTCTCACTATCAAGGATGTAGTACTTCTTTGTAATACACAGAGGAACAAGTTGCTCCGAAGTGGTCAGCAATAAGCATGAAGTAATAAGTATGTGTCGTAGTTTTGTTATGTCGCAAAAGTCTTGTAGCGCTGTCAGTTTACCGCATCTTCTGCTTGGCCTCGTCAAAGCTGTCAGAGACAAAGTAAACGTCCTGGAATGTGGTGATGAGACATTCTTGCTTGCAGGTGGTCTTGGGGTCAAAGGGCCTCACACAGGCTTGATCTGACAAAGCATGCTTGGACAAAAAAAACAACAACAACAAAAATAACAAGGGCTAGGCCGCATCCATCATTATAATTTCAGACTCCTCGGGAGGAAACTGTTTTATTTGGAATCAAAGCTCACCCAAGAGGGCTCAAAGGGTCACTGAGACATTTTGAGTCAGCTGATCACTTTTCTTGATGTATTTTATGTGTGTACAGTATTTTGTGTTTGTGTGTGTGCGTGCGTGTATTACCCTGAGTTCTCCAATGGATGACAGCAAACCAGCACCATAGGCTCTCAGCTGACCTTCTTGCTTGCAGAGGCCAAACTCAATAGTGAAGAAGTAACACTGACAACGAGCGCGCACACATGCACGCAGACGCGGACACACACGCGCGCACACACACACACACGCAAACACCCGTGCAGATCAATAACTGCATCACAAAGACACGGGAGAACACCGTGGACTGCTGTGACGCATCCACGGTACTCACTGTGGCCAGTTTCTGCACATCATCGTCCGAAGCTCCCAGGGACGCCAAACCGATCTCCTGAGAAAACTGAGCAAACTTTGGATCCGCCAGCAGAGGAACGTGACCCAGAAGCTCATGACACGTGTCCCTGAAACACAACACAGCTGAGAAAAAAAAAAACAACAACTCGTCGTGGAGTCATCGAACACCCCGAAATGGTTCAGGTATCGGAAAGCGGCTTAATATTGCTGAAGCGTTTGCGCTACGGCGAGGAGGAGACCGGCTCACGGTTCAGGGGTGTAGAGCGGGTCGGTGCTGTGGCGGATATATTGCGTACAGTTGAAGACTCGGTAGGCCAAACCCGCCAGAAAGTCTCGGGGTGACAGGTAACCTGCGACGGGTCGCACGGTGAAACCAGACCTCTCTGGAACACAGCAAACATGGATGACTTTTACTTTGACAACAACTTCCTGTCGGATGGAGTTGGGCCCGAGTGGTCGGCATGGCAGTCCTTTTAACAAAAGAGAGCTCATGATACGATGACCAACAGGTGCGACGCTGGAGGAGAATCCCTCCAATGCCCCCTGCTGGTCCCAAACGGAACAGACCCATGACAGGATTGAAGTGAGCGGAAGTGGCGCAAGTGGGTGGGGGGGGGGGGGGACGTGAGCCGAGCGAGAGGAGCACTCGACCTCTGAGGAAGTGCGAGACATCCTCCAGCTGAGGAATGTTATCGTGTCGGTAGCCGCAGTGTTGGCTGAGCAGGGGCAGGTTCTTCAGGTATTCCTTGCAGGCGTGAGTGGGGTACAGCTTGTTGAGCTCCCTGAAGACCACGCCCCACGTGCGCACCTCCTCCGGGGTGTATTCGATGCGGGGAATGGGCTGACCGCTGCAAACAAACAACGCACCAAAAGTGAGCGCAAAAAAAATACAAAATAAAAAAAACCACTCGCCACGGAGATTCTTCGTGTTGGGTAAAGATGACGAGCGCTTACAACTTGTACTTCATGGCCACCTCCACAAAATACTTGCGCCGCTGGCGGTAGAGTTCGTCTTTGAAGCCCTGAGGAGCAAAAGCCACATTTATCCGTTCCGGCTCGTCCACTCAATTCTTCAGCAGAGAATTGCGGCGAAAGCCTCGATGAAGGCAAAAGCTGAGACAAAGAAAACGTACCGGGTGGTCAGCATCCAGCTCGGAGCCGTACATCAACACCCGATGGGAGCACTGATCCAGTTCGGAGATCTTCATGGGAAACCACGGAACGTCTTCCTCATCTGCAGCGCACAAACACACAACGGGGGGGGTCTGCGATTCGCCGATGACTTGTAGGGTGAGCGCGTGAGGCGCACCGACCGGCCTGCGCGGCCCACACGTGGGCCGGCGTGTTGAAGGACAGGATGTTGACATGATCTTTCAGGACCTCCAGAAGCTCGTTGAAGTCCTTCTTGCTGCAGATGCAGTCGGCAAAGATCTCCACCTCGTTGGCCACGCGCTTGGACGAGCGCGACTCGATGTGGTTCAGGTTGACGCGTTTCTCCTGCGAAGAGGGGGACCGTCAAGTGATGCGCGACAGCTGAACGGGAGGACCAGGAAGCACTCTGGTCACATGACTGGATGCCAGTCAAAACCTTTAGGTCTTGGGACTTAATTAGCGAAAGTCGATCAATGACTACACTTGATTCTCACAGCATTTGAGCAGTCGTTTTCATTTGAAAATCTTCCTCTTCAACATAGTGTCCCAATTTTGCGCTCAATGTGATTCCACGTCGATTGAAGGATTGTGGAACGGGGGGAAAAAAGAAGAGCAACATGCAAGATTTGCAAGAGACAACGACCGCATCGAACTTCCCAGTCAAGCCGGCAAAAACACAAGCGACAGCGGGTCAAACAGGAAGCCAGCTTCGTGTGGATTTTGCCTTTCATTGAGAAGACGAACAAGCCACGCAGAACGCGCTTTCGTGGGAGCTCCATTTGATTTTCTGGATGTTTTGTAACTTGGAATTTGAAGCTTTCCAGTTAAGACCCAAGACCATCTCTTGATTTACGGCACCCATTTATGGTGACTTAGTCCCACTCGGCGAGGATGTCTCACCTGGAAGAGTCGCAGCGCTCGAACCAAACACCCCACCTCGTTCTTCAGGGAGAACACCACCGCCTGACTCGGTCCACCCTCAGTCTCGCTGATGGGACTGAAGGACGGCCGACGTGACTGGACACACACACGCAAATGTCAACATGAGCAAACATACTTTGAATGTCACTCAGGTGTTGAAGATGAAGCCAGAGGTCACCATCTGGCCACCAGTGTGGCGTAGCGGCGGGCCCCGGTCCAACATGGCCGAGTCGAAGGAGAGTCCGCGACGGCTCCAGTACTTGCTGGAGAACATCATCATGGCGGGTTGCATGGCGGGCGCCGGCTGTGTCTCCTGCTGGTCGTCCTTCATCACGTGAGAGGACGCCATGGGGAACCAGTGAGTGTACGAGTACCACGAACGCTCCAGTCTGAACGCTCGGACGGACCCGAATCCACAACTGCTCGCCGCCCTCCGCCGCCACGCTTAAATAAGTCGGGCGGGAGAGGCCGAGGGGAGGAGGGAGCGGAGCTTGATCCTTGGGGTCCTCGCGTCACACATTGTACATTCATTATTGTTCATTCCGGTTATGATGTCATTATGATATTGTTATGACATTTTACGATCCCATGCGCTTATAAAATTACACATTGTTATTTAGAGGTTGTATTTGCTGATGAGACTTTTCATGTCCATCACTGGATGTTGCATTTTGTCATCCATCTCTGAGTGCCATATTTGTGTGTGTGTGTGTGTGTGTGTGTGTGTGTGTGTGTGTGTGTGTGTTGAGAAGCACAAAAAGCCCGGCCAACTCGTCAGCTGATAACGGCAGCAAGCACCTGCTGGTCTGGGCCAATTTCCTGTCAGTCAGGAAATGAAAGCGGTGCCTCTCAGATGTGCTGCGGCTGCCTTATGAGCTGATGCGCTGATAGCGACCCGCATTCAACATCTCACATCTCAACGGCCAGCGTTGATCACCGAGCTTCACCAAAGTCTAGTTGGAAGCCGAGAAAAATGATGCTCGATATTCAAATCCCACAGGTTGGCCGCTGACGCTTCAAGCCAACGGAATTAGCCAAGGACTTCAGTCTCGTGGCTCCAGACAGACCGTGACAGTCATTGAAGCATAAACGCGTCATTTAATCATGGAAGGTACAGCCGTAAAAATGAAACCTGACTACGAGAAGTACAAGAGAAGGTTTTTAATGCGTCAAACCTGTCGCTGAGGATACAACGGATGTTTCCATCTGCTGTGAATACGACGACGACGACGACCAGCGTGCTTTAAAAAAAAAAAAAAAAAGTTTTTTCCTTCGCAAAACGTGTCCAGGAGAAACTTCCTGTCCGGTGTCACAGAGGACAAAAGTGCACGTGGTAAAAAAATAAGAATCTTGGTTACGACATGAAGGCAACTTTGCTGAGATGCTGAGAGTCCATGGCTCGCAAGTGTCCGTTGGAGTTGGCGCAGGCGCGGTCGCCTCGATGCAACGCTCCCGCCACGGGCGGAGCCGCCGCCGCCGACTCCGTGCTGGAGTCGCAGCGATCGCGGGGTTTAGACTCCAACGCCAGGATGTTGATCACGGACTGAGGCAGGCCCTGAGGACACAGAGGCCGCCACGTTTCATACCCGAGAGACGACAATATTATCCAACATGATGCTGACATACTGTGGCGAAAATGCTCAAGGATGTTTAAGTTTCACGTGTTTGAAAATTTCAGAAGTGCATTTTTTTTCCCGTCCAGTCTTTGTTTCATCAAAACAAAAAAAACACTGAACTACCCAGAAGCGCTGATTGTGACGTCACTACCTGACACTTGTTGATCTGCAGCCAGATGCTTTCTCCCTTCTGAAGGATTTCTTCCACGTCCAGCTTCATGGAGAGCTCATTCACATGCTGCCCAAACAGCAACAAACACACAAACTTGCTCATGAACACACGTCGCCACAAGCGTGAGAATACAACGAAAGAGCGAGTTTACTTTGAGGATCTCGTTGAAACCAAACTTCTCCTCCATAATTTTGCTCTTCTCCGAGTCCAGGATGGCACAGCAGAGCAAGAGATGGAAGTTCTGACAGGGCAGCCCCGTCCACATCACCTGAAACACACTCAGGTCAGCCGGGTCGGGTCGCGCCTGGTGCCGACACGCGGTCGGGGACAAAGTGGTGCACTGACCTCCCAGAGCCTGAGGATGTTGTGGAAGGAGAACTCCCTCTTGAAGCGGATGAGCAGCCAGCGGAAGCAGAAATAAAGATAACCGGAATCCTGAGATTCTGCAGGCGCATCGGAGACAGTTGAAAGGTCGGGAGCGGCGCGCGACAGACGCTCTGGGAGGAATTGCTCCCTCGCCACCATTTTGTCTTTATGGCTGCAACATGTTCCAAAAATGCTGGGACAGGTGGCAAAAAAAAAGAGTGAGAAAGTTGGGAAATGCTCATCAAGCACCTGTTTGGAACAGCCCACAGTTGAAGGGGCTTACTGGGAACGGGTGGGTGCCGTGGTTGGGTCGAAAAAAGAGCTTCCTTGAATCTGTGAAGGGGCCATTCATGCTGAAAGGTAAAACGCCGATCTTGGAGAAACGTACGCTCACCCACACATCGACTTTTTCACGGATGCCCGTGTGTATTTCATTCAACAAGTCGATGCCAAATCACATTCTGCACCTGTTACGGCAGCATGGATTCGTCGTGAAAGAGTGCGGCTACGAGTCTGGCCTGCCTGCAGTCCAGACCCGGTGCCCAGTGAAAATGTGTGGCAGAAGATGAAGCGGAAAAAAAAAACTGTTGACCGGTGGAAGCTCTGCATCAGGCAAAAATTGGGAAGAATCCCACCGATACAGTGTCCTCGGTTCCCAAACGTTAAGTGAACGTTCAAAGAAATGGTGATGTCACACAGCGGGAAACACGACCCTGTCCCAGCTTTTTTGGAACGCGTTGCGGCCATAAAATTGTAGTTGGTGATTATTTGCTCCAAGTAACCACAAAGTGAATTTTGAATTCAGAAGTCATGGAAAATGGTCACAACCAAATCGATGCTATTGTTTCACTTGCTGTAACTGAGTAAAGGATTTGGGCTTTGAATGTGTACAAAAGGTGCATGGAATTTTGGGACACATTTTCAACAACCAATCAACGTAGCCAGAACCAGGAATTAGACACACTATCGGCTGTTGTGGGCCACAAAAATAGGAGCCGGATGCCGAGGGAGTTGGCTATTTTGTAGTACTGTTGATTCGTTGACCGTGTCGTGACTCGTGAGCAGATGTGGGGCTCTCATTAAATCCCGCAGGTCACCTTGACATGTCGTCAGCAATCCACAGCCACTAAAAAAGCCAATTTACCCCATGAGAAATGACAGCCATACAGAGCAGCATGATCACTTTCTTCGGTCTGCTCTGATTTTGAGCCCCGCACAAATGCATGTCAATATCTCTTCACGAAACAGCAGCATCCTTCTCCCCAAACTCTTCGTGTGAGGAGCGCCGTCACTCTGATCAGAATCGTTGGCCCTTCCCTACCCTCGAATCGCTCCAAAAGCATTTTTCGTGGCGCCATAATGCAGGTCCACGACATAGAAACTCGTGCATACCGAGATAGCTGCAGAAGGACGGATCCAGCAACCTGAGCAGCGTACTGAGCTGGATCAGCTGAGTCTTCATCCCCTGCATCTGCTCCTCAAAGTTCTGGTGCTACAAAGGATGACGAAAACCTCCAGTTAGAACTCTGTTCAAGTTTCGCTTGCGCTCGAGACGACAACTCACCATGTGTTCCATGAAGCAGACGAAACACCAGAAAGCGTCCACCTCGTTCTCCATGACGAAGACGATGGGCGACAGGAGGTCGCTCATGCCCTGCACGTAACCTACACGCACACACAAGGTGAGCGGGCAGGTCGACGACCGAGCGGAAAGGAGACTCGCTCTCACCCAGGTCAAAGTCGTACATGCAGTACGTCATGAGGATGTCGTGCAGGAGGACCAGACCCGGATTATCTATCCCCTCGTAGAATTGATTGCTTCTGTCTGTCCGGTTGACATCTTTCTCTGCAAAGGGAAGCGGTGGCGTGAGGCGAGCTCACGAGAGCGGCGGAGTCCGACGGTTTGGCGCGATCCTCACCGATTAGACTTTTGTAGTCTCGAAGTCGGGAATTCCTTCTCTCCTGCTCCTCGCTGACCGACTTCCACTGCAGCTTCATGCGGAAATATTCATCCCTGCGGCAGCGAGCATCAACATCAATCACACTCGCTTGCTAAGCAGCCGCCCGATTTCGGACAGCGCCATGGGCGGCAGGGGGAGCCGGAGTCCGTTCCGGCAGACTTACGGGCAAACCCCGGTCTGGTGGCCGACCAATCCGAGGACACGTATAGACAGACGGCAGTCACAATCGCAGCCAAGGACAATTTAGACTCTTCGATGAACCGAAAGCGGGCTGGCCTACAATGCGCCTGAAACCGACTGAACTCGGCAACTGGTCGTCATGCGCGGCGGCCAGCGGCTTGCGGAGGGCTTTCGGTTCATTGAAGACTCTGAAATTGTCTTTAAGTGTAAATGCTTGTTTGTCTGCACGTGCGTACCCTGCGATCGGCTGGCACCCAGTCCGGGGTCGACGCGCCTCTCACACGACATCAGCTGAGATGGACTCCAGCACACCCGCAACGCAAATGAGCATAAGCGCTTTACGTCGAAAACGGACGCGCGGCCACGAATGACAAGGACTCGTACGTTTTGCTTCTCCGCAGACTTTTCCTCTCATCCAGCGTGCTGTTCCAGGGAAAGTATCCCAAAAGAAACTTCCAGGCTTCTTTCCTTACCGCATGGCACAGACCCTGCAGGGGGCCAACGCACATGACAACCGCAATCAAAGCAAAACCAAAGCCTGAACCGGCAGCCCAGCGTGCAACTTGCCCCCCTGAAGATGGACTCCTGGAGCCGAGCGATGTGCATCAAGCGGCCGTCCTGGTCTTGATGTCCGTTCCACATGTCGGCGGACACGGGGGCGCTCCGCGAAACCTGCGGTCGTGTCCCCAAGTCCACCTGGTGGACACACAACCGCACAACCGCACACAGAGCCATGCGGTTGATCAGAGGTGTCCAAAGCACTCATGCTCTCTTGCGTACGAGGAGCGAGGAACTCGCGTCTCACCCTGGTGACCACCTCAAAGCCGGGCTCCTCCTGCTGGTTGATCTCCAGGCCCGGGATGATTTCCCCCAGTAGGTTGGCGACCTCCTCCGGGGGGCGCTGGTGCTGCTCCTCCGTGCCCTTGAAGGCGTCGAAAATGTAGTTGGTGACTTTGGAGAAGCGGCCCAGCGTAGTCACGTACGGATCCTTGCGTAACTTCTGCCGAAAGAAGAGGCGTCGGCGTCGGCGTCAGCGCGTGTCCGAATGGTGCCGAGCGCTTCAAGACTTACGTGGACCAGGCCAAAGTTGTTGTCATCCTCCAGATTCTCAAAGGACTGACTCAGAACCTTGTTGGGAGAGCTGATCAGCAGACGAGACTCGTCCTCTGCGCACCTGAGCGAATGCATTCCACGGACGTCATCGTCATTGCAGCACATCTTATGTTATTTTGACCAGCGTCAGTCTTTTCAACCCCGCCCGAATCATTTCCGGGTGAGGGACGTGGACTTCTTGCGATTAAACTACGCGCTGAGATGGCGCACTCCTGCATATTTGAAACAATGATGTGTTCCGCTCAGCCGGTACCACTGAGTCACTTGACTGAATCCTGCCTACTGATTTGCAGAATGAAGACTTTCATCACTTCCTCCGACTTTGCAGCCAATCAAACGCCCCGTTCATTTTTTTTCTTTTTGAGGCAGTCTTAATATTCACAAATGTCAAATTGCACTCTGCGAAAGCAACATTCGCGATATCACGGACAATAAGATACTGTACATCGCCCACACCATCTAAACTTCAACCGGGAGTGACAAATTATTTGCTTGAGGCAAGCACGCTTTTGTTCTTATTTGGACAATTGTGTGAGCTGGAGTAATTACCAATAACAATGACAATAATAACATCAAAAAATATTTCAGCATCTTTTCATGTGTTTTAAGTTTAGGATGGGAAAAAAATCATTTTATAAAAGTTGTTTATATGGTGTCTCTGTATCGCAGAGGGTGTGTGTGTATATGGTGGCATAAAGCAGGGTTAAGGGATTTCGCATGTGCCGCAGCAAAGACAATTTCCTGTGTGTGTGTGTGTGTGTGTTTGTGTCAGATAAGGGGTTTCATAAGATGATATTTTCCTCAAAGGAAGACAATTAGCATATAAACGATGCGCTTCAGTGCCACTTGCCAAGATTTGACGCGGCAGGGCCTTTCCGCAGTGGCCACGGTCACGAAACCCGTGGTAGCACGAGTGCAGTACAATAAACCCTGGCGATAAAACGGTTCATGTTTTGCGGCTTTGCTCTTTCACAGAATTTTTTCGTGCAGTTTTTTGGGTTTTTTTTTAACAGTGCATTGTGTTCTGCATTCTGATTGGCTAAGGGACTGTCGGTGATGTCAAGAATCTCCACGCCTCATCATACCACTGCTTGCCCAATTTTCTCCATGACAAAACCCACCATGTCGACGAAACGTTCCATACAGTATTCCTAAAAACTGTCGGTTGTTTTTAAGAAAACGTTCATATTTTTGTTCTTTTGTTTTAATGCTTGGGCCTGAAAAAAAAAGGTTTAATCTTTATTTTCATTCAATACAGTATTGTATTGTATATGTAATAATTGTAAAAAAAATAAAGATGACTACTTCATGGATTTCACTTATCACGGGTTCTTTTTGGAACGTAACCCCTGCAAGTGATTACTGAACTCACTTGCTGAGCGTGGCCACTCCCATCAAGCTGTCCAGGAGCTCTTTGCTGCCGCCCTGGTGGAAGTGCAGTGAAGGCAGCGATGAAGATCCCTTGAGTGCGAAAACCAGCGCGGGCGTCTTGCGATGGCGGCAGCAGCCGTCCCGGAGCGTGACGGCGGCGAGCTGACTGAGACTGACCGAGAAGAAACGTCCGCTCTGCTCGTGGCCACCCGCCACAGAACCTGACAGAGGGAGCGGCAACAACTTAGCCAGCAGCCCATGAAAAACAAAAGCGCTCACGACTGAGCCGCTGACCCTGTCCGGCGACGCAGGCCTTCTTCTTGAAAGACGCGGCGTTGATCAGATCCCACTCGGTCTCGTAGCTCTGCTGGCTCTCCAAGGGCCACTGGCCGCGCTCGCCCGGACGCTGATTGCCACATTGGACCCACTCCATGACCGAGCTGGAGTCCTGCTGGCACACGACACGCTCCAGGATGGCGAACAGCGACGCTCAACAGGATGTGTACCGAGTCTTTAGACCGAGCTCAGACCACGCCAAGGCTGCCCGATTGTGAGCCGACAGAAACTGCACAGACAAATATTGACTGTCGTGGCCCATTTTGGAGTTATGGGCGCAAATCCAGTGTGGTTTACTGTGATGTCACCAAAGATTGGCCATCTGCCATCTCGGATGCTTCACAAGCATGACCGAGAAAGTCTGGCATGTCAGAATGAAGCAAAAATAGTTAATTTCTTCCCTTACGTTGACCAAAAGGAGGACCGACTGACTTCTGATGACAAGCGGGTGTTCCGTGGTGCGGATAAAACATTTCAACGGTCCCCTCCTGTTCATAGTGAAGCTGCTAACAAACATTAGCTAGAAGCTATTAGCAAACGTTAAGGTGTTAACAACTCGGTTCACTCAAGTTGTGTTTGAAGGAGACAATCCATACTGCCCTCTCCACGCCATTCAAGAACCATATCAAAGTCCCAGTTTTGTTTTGTTTTTTTGTCCTTTCCGGGTAGTGGACAGCCACATGAGACAAAGTACCTGCCTGACTGACAGCTGCTTGTCCCGCCTCCCCGAAGATTACGCTTTTGGCAACAAAACGCCACAATGGGGGTTGGATCGGCGCGGGATCATAGCACGGCCGCTCGATCCGCTCCGAGACACGCAGCCGCTTTGTGACACCATGTCTGCTCGAGCGTCATTAATAACAACAACAAAGGTGTCGTCTGAGCTCGGCGTGAGGCTGGCTACCATAGGTTCAGCGAGGCAGTGCGTGCACATACGCACGCATAAACACATAACATTTTGACGCTTACAAACACACACCTTGGCAGCACATAAGATGTGTGAAGGGTCCACAGAATCCTCAAGAGGCGTGAATTCCATCATGATGTCAGCATCCTGACAAGGGGGACATGAAAAAAAAAACTTCAGAAATTCGTTCAATTTATCATTATCCGCCCAAATATTTGGGCATTGATTTTAAAACTAAGACTTGTTAGATTGTAAAAATGTTCACCTTCTCAACGATTCGAAGAGAACCACAAACAAGAAAATCCTCTTCCGTGTCTTCTTCATCTCCGCTTGGATGCGCAAACACGCCTTCGAGCTCAAATACAACCTGAACATGACACACAAGAGCTCATGCGGACAAATCGCATGTGGACAACCTGCAAACAAATGTTGGCGTGAAAAGTAACGTGTTTTTTTTTCTTTAACCTATTCAAGATGTCAAAACTGCGCTGTCTAAGATCGTCATTGCATTGGAATTGCACAAATCTGTGCAATTTGAAATAATCTGCAGTGTTCTCTGGTATCATGTTAGCAATACAGTACAGCCAGACACACAGTAGTACTGTAGCACCAAGACGCCACAAGATGGTGGCAAAGTAATCAATTTATTGCTTTGGCCTGAGGCTAAAAAGAGTACATCGGAAAATCAAATATGCAATTAAATATTGTTTGTACTTCCTAGTGAATTTGATTAACTGATACATATCGGCTTCCTGTTAAAGGTGATAAGGCACCGAGCGCACGCTCCCCGCACACAAATCAGGGGAGTGTACAGCTACTTGATTGTGTTATTTTGGTCGTAATTTGTTTATTTTTGTCGGTGGATATAGTGATAAGAGCTAGAGTTTAGGAATGAATTAATGTTTCTATTTATTGAACATTTTTTACTAGTCGTGCTTACTCATTTTTAACACAAGAAAACAAACAAATCGCCTCCTTCAGCTCATTTCGACTGTTGGAGCGGACGTAGCTGATCTGACAGCAGTCAAGTGACTGTGAGCGGTCCAGCTCAACATTCAGGCCACAAACAAACACGTTTAGCGTGTACGAGCTGTCTTGTCAGTTGCGGCGGAGACAAAGTTGAACAGGTCGCTGCTCGAGTTGACGACGTGTTCCGTGTTGGGAGGTTTCAATAGCCTCAACGCGGCGGATTAACGAGCAGCTAGCTAGCGAGCGAGCTAGATATCTAGCTAGTTAGCTGCTGCTGCTGTTGTTGCTAACAACGGCCCAATCCCGAGCAGTGGCGGAAATATGAGCGCCAAAAGACGGCACAAGACACCTGCGCTCACTTCCTGCCGACAAACGTCGTCAGAGCAGCGCTGCCTCGTCAAACCGTCTCGGAGAGACACGCCTTGTTTTTACCTTTCCAGAAGACTCTGCCGCCATGTCGCCGTCGCGTCACGTGTCTACCGTCGGCCACAACAACGCTGACGTCAGCTTCCGGTGAGCTTGCTTTTGCAGCCTGGTGACGCTCGTCACGCACGCGGGCGGCACATTCACGCATAAACTTGTCAAATGTTGATGTGCAGGATATCGAAATTGGCTTGGCAAGCCTTCATCCTCGTCAGCTGTTTGCGTGCATCAAAACTATTTGCAATCACAACAGCTTTTCTTCACATAAATAGATATGGAGCTGTTTTTATTGATCTATTGATCTATTTATTTATTTATTTGTAGTCGCCTACTTCTTATTTACAAGTTTACCCACAACTCAAGCGTCAATTTGTCTTGTCGAGTCAAAAGTAACACTTAAGCAACGCTTCATCCTGCATGTGAACGTGCTGCTACTTCTTTATCTCACTGTTGTATGAATAACCACACGGATAATAAGGAAACGCACACACGCGCGCGCGCACACACACACACACGCACGCACACGCGCACACACACGCACGCACGCACAGACACTGCCCCTCTCCAGGGAGCAATTAAAATTTCTCCAGGAAAAACAAAAAACGAGCGACTTTTTTTGTTGGCCTTAATCTCAAGCTCTTTCCTTATTTTTATCTATTTATTTTTTCACCTTGAGCCAAGAAACCACTCATGCGACACGGACCACCCAGAGCCCCTGAAGCGACCGCGTCCACACACTCATCAGGTATACGACGGACAACATAAATGTATGGAAGGTAAGGTGTTAGCAAATTGCAGTTCCTGTACAATAGGTGGCAGTATGCAGCAAAAGAGATGTAGTCAGCCAGGAAATTAAAAAAAGAAAAAGAGTCGCTCTCGCGAGTCGCGAGACTCGATGAAACTTAGGAAAACGAAACTCAAGCCAACGGAACTCGTCTGGTAGAAGCACGAGCAAATAGAAGTGGCACGATGGCCTCATCGAGATAAAGCCAACGATTGCAAAATTGCCGCGGCTATCGACATGAATCTGGAATCGGCGGGTCAGCTTCCGATGATCGACGTTGAGCTGGAAGACGGGGAAATCTGCGACGACGACGGTGAGGAGAGCTCCGCCGCCCGGCTGGGGGAGGGGAACGGCAGCAGGCCTGCCGGCGCCGCGGTACCTCCGCGGGGTCCAAGGCCACCCTACATGGGCCCCTCGCCGCCAGGCTTTCACCACATGATGCCCTACGACGTCCACGGACCGTCGAACCACCGGCAACAGTGCGGGCCGAGCGGGCCCGATCGACCCCACGCTCCTGGTCCCCTCCCGCTGCCGCTACCCCTTCCGCTACCGCCCGGGCCTGGGCCGGGCCCGGGGCCGGGGCTCGCTCCTCTGTGTGGCGGGCCCGGTCCGCGGCCCAGCTTCTGGGAGCGGAGCCACGGCGCTCTGGGGAGGTTCAGGCACCGAAGCGTCTCCAACGGTGGACGAGGGGCCTGGAACCGAGGAGGCTGGACCGACCACAGACCCCCGATGGCTCGTTACGGGCCAGCAGAGAACAGCAACAGGGAGCCCCCTGGCAGGAAACGTATCCTTCATGACAAGCTTTTCACTCTCGACGTCTTCACTCACACCAGAAAACAAACCGAGGAGAAACCAGCTCTGCAGTTTTTCCGCACATGCCTATATGCTATACGTGTCGTTGATAAACACACATACCTTGTACTTTTTGCGTCAACTTATCAAATTCCCTCTATTCCACATGAGAGACATGCTAGTAATACGAACTCGTTACGGGTGGCTTTATATTCGCCAATATGTCGACCAAATCGTGATCAAGTGACAATTGCATTCCACATTGGTGATTATGGTTCTATGTTAGTCAATGTGCATGTCATATATTAATCCGACAGTGATTGTTTATGGTGAAGGATCCATTCCATATCAGTCAGGCTGGCAATTGCTAACTCTATATTATATTAGCCAATATGTTAACCAGATGGTAATCAAGTGATACTGGCGATACACATTAATGATTGTGGTTTCATATTGGTCACTATGCAGGTCATATATGAATTAGGCAATACTTATAGCACATTTGTGATCATCACATGGAATCGGTTAACTGTTTCACATCAGCAAGAATATAGTGTGACATACGTCGACACATATTAGATACTAAAATCTAAGCGCATAGAAAAAGTTTCATACACGAACAGTGACCTGCTTAAAATTGTATACACAGACATGAACCGGGTTAAAGTGCATGCACATGGACACATTTTTAGATTCGGACCAGATGGAAAGATCTACCCTACTGTTTTCACACCATGTTCTGGACTCCTTGTTAGATAACATAAATGTGAAGGTTGCATTTCAGACCGCACCTTTTCTTGACTTTGTCCGAGTGTCGCGAGGATGAAATAGCAGCCCAGAAAAACAGATGAGAAAATTAAATCGACTAGGAGTGAGTTTTAATCATATTGGCTAAAGGAACACGCGTTGAATATGGTGTCGTTTTTGTGAATTGCTAATTGGCCTTACGTTCGAGCGACCCGATTAAAATTCCAACAATGGTCATCACATCTAGTCAACATGGGCCATTTATCGACCTCTCTGAATGAGAGCAACCTGCCGATTTGATTAATAGTTAGCCTCTATCGTTTGAACGAGGGAAAATGTTCTCGGCATTTGCGGATTTGTTTTCATAGCTTATCACTGGTTGTCAGGACACACGTGAGCTTGTTTCAAAACCAAATAGTGGACTTGAAGATCGGCGCCTCTCCTTGACACGCGACCACAGAGAAGCCACTCGGAAGGATCCCGGCCAGAAGACCACCACCGAGTATGGCCAAGTGCGAGGGTGCCGAGTCCTTCGAGGACCTGCTGTCCAAGTATAAGCAGATTCAGATGGAGCTGGAATGCATCCGCAAAGAGGAAAGCATGGCGCTGGAGGCCAAGGTCCAGGAGCCGGAGCCCAAGGGTCAGGAGGCAGCGGCCAAGGTTCAGGGAGCGGAGGAGTGTCCCGCAGAAGGCGTCACGCTTCCCCAGGCTTCCGTGCAGGTTGCGGCAGACACCAAGAAAAGTTTCCAGGCATTCAACATCAAACCTCTGCGCGTGAAACTTTTTACGCCTGCCAGTCTGGACACGAGCACAGAGGAGGAGGAGAAGCAGCAGCAGCAGGAGGAGAAAGCCGGTGAGTGAGTTGAAAGCAGTTTCAACAGCCCAACTTGAAGCGTTGTTGACTTCCCTTCTTGCTGACGCGCACATGCGGGTTGACGCAGAGGCCAAGGTGGCACAGATGGAATTGGAGGTCGTGAAGCCGTGCGTGTGTTGCGACGAAGAAGCCAAGGATGGTGAGAAAACTCCCGGCAGAGAGTCGTCGGCCTCCAGCGAGGACGTCTTCATCTGCATCGATGAGGTACGCGGGCGTTTGGGCCTTCCATCTTTGTAGTTCTTGAGCCTCAAATGGGAATTTAGGTGGCATACGTTTGCACACTCTAGTTGAAGAAGAAAAAAAAAGATTGTTCGAATTACAAGTACTGATGCAGCTCCAGTAATGAAATGAAAATCAAACATGGACTAGCCACATGCCAAGTGGCTGCCATCTGAGAGGATAAAACGTGGAACACCTCATTAACGCAAACATCTGGAAAATGACAAAATGGGGAGAGCCGTGTCAGTTTTGGCCCGTTTGAGCTTTTTGGATATTTTGAAGGAAAAATTCTGAGTCAATCAGAGAAGAGCTTCCTCAAACAAGAAATCAAACGCAACGTTAAGTCAAGTGAGTCAATGTTTTTTCCTGTCTGCGGCGATGCAGCTGGGCGGTCAGCTGGAGGAGGAGGACCTGTCGGAGTTGCAGCTGCGTTTGCTCGCCCTGCAGTCGGCCAGCAAGAAGTGGCAGCAGAAGGAGCGGCAGGTGATGAAGAGGAGCAGAGAACCGATGGCCGCCAGGCCGAGGGTCGACGAAAGGACCAGGACCAGGTCCAGGCCTCAGGACCGGGAGCGAGACAAGGCCAAGCCCGGGAGCAGAGAGCATTCCAAAGCCTCCCCGAAGCCCGCCGCCAGAACTCCTCCGGACAGAAGCCGGCCCAAGAAGAGCAGCGGCTCAGGTGAGAAGCCAGAGCAAGCGGCGGCGCCCGAATGTGTTCCGGCGACGCTACAGCGTGTACTCGCTTGTCCTCTGCAGCCACAAAACAGGCGTTGAGGAAACTCCAGCGGCAGCGGGATGAAGACGAACGACACAAACGAGAGGATGAAATCCGCAAGATCCGGGACCTGTCCAACCAGGACGAGCAGTACAAGCGCTTCATGAAGCTGGTGGGGGGCAAGACGCACGGCAGCGCCAAGGTACGCCCGCCCTCAGCCGAAAGCGGCGCGCTTCGCCCTCCTTCAACGGCGTCTCCGTCAATTCAGGCCAGGGACGGCGAGGGCAGGAAGTCCGCCGGCAGGACGGGCACGGACGCCACGGGAAACCTCTACCAGTACGATAATTACGATGAGGTTGCCATGGACACGGACAGCGAGCCCGGTTCTCCAGGTGCGTTTGACCGCTCGGGCGACACCCGCGTCGCTTCTGCTGCACCTTTCAAGTCGACATAAACCGGTTGCGTGATGCTGTGTAGTTAGTTGAACGATTTGAGTGGCTCAAGCTCCAAATGCTTGGGGTAAGAGGCACAAATGCGGCGAATCCCCCCCAGCGTATGTACAATAACAAAAGTGCACATCAGTGCACCAAAATAAAATAAAATTAAATGAAATGAAATGAATTTCCTGCTAGCTTACCCAGCCACATCTATTCAAGGTGTGCAATGTTGTCCAAAATGTCATCATCATGAGGCAAATCGAGATCCTTTCTACTTCTTATTTTCCACCGCCAAGCAAAGAAAATCCATCCATGATATTCACCAGCCACACTTATAAAGTCGGCGGTCTCCTCCTGAATCTGCGTGGCTCCTCCTCGTTTACCCGCTATGAAGCTAATAAATGAAAGAAGTTATTCTGAGGTGGCAGTTGGCTACTCTGAAACAAGCACAAAAGTCTTCGGGGTTCATTTTTAAAATGTACATTCTGCCCAAGACGTGCGTTCATTTTGTCCTGTTTGTTGATCAATCAGCCAGCGTGTGTAAGGCACGTGGTGGCCAGACACAACGCCGTACTGGCCGGCGCCACCGTTTACCCCGATGAATGAAAATGACACTCAGCCGCAGCTCTCACATTGTTTTTTATTCCGTCCTCGTGTTTGTTTTTCAGCACGTGCCTCTTTCCCCGCTGAAGGCTCCGCTTCGTTCCCCGTGACGCCGCTTTACGCGACGGTTCGTACACCTTTCCCCTCTCAGTCGGCAGCCGTCGGGTTGCCTTGGATGTCCGGAGACCCAAATGTAACTTTTCTTTGTCTTGTGGCAGCCTTTCGCCGCCTGCCCCCCTCCCTTGCCGCCGCCTCTCCCTCCTCCGGCCAACGAGCGCGCGCCTCCTCCAAAGCCTCCGTTTGCCGATGAGGAAGAGGAGGAAGAGATGCTGCTCAGGGAGACCTGCCTCATGTCCATGGCCAACAAGCGGGTGGTGACCGAAGAGGTTACTTTGCTCTCTTTCTTTGCATTTCCACCAAATAACACATACCCGGTTGCAGAACGGCCATGGGGCATGGAAGTGGGCTTTTGTGCCCCTTTTACTTTCCACAATTCCCTGCATTAATTCACAGACAGTTGGAAACAATGAACAATGTCAGTGTTAAGATCGTTCCAAAATGGCCGCCACGTGGTGTCCACGTGGCGGTGTTTTGTTTCATCGAAATCACCCGCTTGTCAAATGGAATGACGGGGAGTTCACGCTGCGGTGCTGTGTGCAGCAGGAGCCGTCCTGGAGCGGCCCCCGCTCCCCGAGCGCTGCGCCCCTCGCAGCCACCGAGCAGCCCGGCAGAGGAAACCTGAGCGCCGTCAGCCTCAACACCATGACGGCGCCGCACGGACACAAGTTTGCCAGAGGAGGAGCTTCGAGAGCACCACTGGTGGTGAGATGATGATGATGATGATGATAATGACAGAGTTGACAAAAGTGCTCATGTTGGGCTTAAGTAGAAGTATTAATACTTATATTAAAAAAAAAGAAAGAAAGAAAGAAAACGTTATAATGATTGAACTCCTGTACTTGAGTAGTAGTGTAAGACTGGAAAATGCACTCTAAAAGTACAAAATTGAAATCTTTTTGACTGTCATCTGTAGAAATTTGGGGCAAAAGTAACCAACTTGTTTTGAATGAAGGGTAGTCGGGTAGAAAGTAGAGATTCCTGTTTTAAAATGGAGTCGTCAATGTCAAGAGTTGCCAGAAAAATAATATCAACTCAAAGTAGTGACACTTGGGGAAAAAAAAAACTATTTACATCCAGTGAGGAAGCATTTGTACTTTGATTCTTCCCAACGCCGAGCGTTGATGTCGATGATGGTCTTTTGTGTCGCGCAGCTGCCACGCCACAAGTCTGTGGTGGTGTCTCTGAACGGGTCGGATGACAGCGACTCGGACTTGGACGCGGCGGCCCAGGGCATGTACGGCGGCCTGGAGTTCATGATCAAAGAAGCCCGAAGGACGGCCGAGGTCAACGCCAACAAGTCCAAAGGCGCGGCGGAGACCTCGGAGAAGGAGAACAATCCGATGCGGACGCCCGAAGCTTTGCCCGAGGCCAAGAAGGCAGAGTACCGCTGCCTCAGGGATGAGCTCGCCAGGTATGAAAGCCGCGCGTCGGCCACCGCTCGCTGCCGCCATTCAACCCTGCCGCGCTTTGTGGACGTTAAGGAAGCCGGCTGTGAGCACAGCAACCTGGCGGCGTGCCTCTGACTGCGACTTGGACTGCACGTCTCTTTGCTTGAACGTTTGGAAAGCTGCCAACGTTTAACTTTCGGTGGAGCCCCACATACTCACGTCGCGGTACACCACCACCCATTCATGTATGCGTGGGTTTTGTTTTGGTGCACTCACTTGTCTCTCTCTTCCCCCCCCCCAAACAAAAGTTTCAAGGGAGGTAATTGTGGGGTTGTTGTAGCAGTAATAAGGAGTCAAAGTATCCAGACTCTCAGACTTTCAATGAGTATCTTGTAAAAAGCTCATACTCGAGACCGGGGGTTCTCATAGTTTGGGATTTTTCATGAGAGTTTTTATTTCATTTGGACTTTTCTTCAGTTAGTTTTAATTCGTCTTTGAGTATGTTTTTTTTTTGTTGTTGTTATATTTTTTCAAAAATGCTTCATTTCAGTTTTTATGGGAATTTGTATTGTTTTTTTGCGGGGGTGGGGTGTTTGAGTTTATTTTTTATTTTATTTTATTTTTTTCAAAAATGCTTCATTTCACTTTTGATGGGATAATTTTTTTTTTGGGGGGTGTTTGTCAAGGACAAGACTGGAAAAAAAACAGAGGTGACTAAGTTGTTGTGTAAACAACTGGCTTCACGCAGCTTTTCATGTGTGGTGTTTGTGCTGCAGCAGAGAGAAGCAGAAGGCATCCGGTCATGACGCTCACTCGGCGACTGCCGCCGCTGCCACGGCCGCCTCGCTGGTCAGTGAAGCTGAGCAGAAGCTGCTGAAGCAAAGGTGAGCCTCAACACGATGAGTAATGCCGCCGCGGCACGGGAAAAGCGCCGGCGTAATCCGGAAAGCCGACTGCCCCCCCTCAGAGAGTTGCTGGCACGAGACGAGGCGCTGCTCAAGAGCCTCCTGCAGCAGCAGCTCAAGAAGTCCGAGTCCCTCAAGGCGGCCGAGTCCAAGGTGGCCAGGCTCCGGGAGCAGATGCAGGCCTCCGAGAAGATCGTCCTCGCCAACAAAACACTGTTGAAGAAGATTCAAGAGCAGGTGAGCTCCAACACGCCCGCGATGCCCCTTTCGCCTCTCAACACCTCGACGTGTGCGCTCAGGTGCGGCGTGTAGAGCACCGCGTGTCGATCAAGAAGGCGCTGGCTGCTCGCTTGGCGCAGGAACTGCTTTGGACTCAGAAGGCCGCCGGAAGAGAACCCAAACGCAAAGCCGGAGCTGTCCACAAGCCGGTGAGCACCGGGCAGCGTGATCATTTCTTCCTCGCACAGGCAATTTTTCAATGTGTCGACTTTGGATGTTTGATCGTAGGGTTGAATGATTTATCGTTTTGCTCAAAATCACCGAGGCACGTCTTTGGGAACAAGCTACGAGCTGCGCTCGCTCGCTGGCACGGCGAAACATTTTCCTCCCGCCAGGCGAATCCTCCTTTCATCAAAGTAACTAATTCTCGCCTGCGTGGCGGCAAGTAAGCTACATTTCTAGCAACAAAGTGGCGGCCGAAACAGGATGATCACGAGAATGCCTCAGCTTCAGGTCTCATTCAAGTGAATGGGACCGTGAGCACGTGACGTTTCAATATTTATAAGAAGTCTTGATTTTAGAGTCGAGGAGACTTCGACTGATTGTGCGTTTGTGTATTTGATGCGGCTTTCACGATCGGCCTCATTTGCGGTATCGGACCGATACAAGTAACAATCATTTTTCCCAATATCGGGCTGATAATTATCGATCCAGTAATTATCGCGCGTCGCTAATTTACATTTTGGTCAGTGTAAAAATCCGTCTGTGGTGATTGGAGAACAGACGAATGATTCTGAACACCGTGACTTGTGTTTGCGCTGTGCTGTCTCAGGCCAGGAAGCTTCAACGAGTGGATGCCGCCAATCACATTGCAGCGCTGATGGCTCAGAAGCAGCGTCTGCAGCAACTGGAGTCCGAATACGCTCTGAAGATCCAGAAGCTGAAGGAGGCCCAGGTCTTGCGCAACAGGGCGGCACCGTCTGAAGCGCCGAGCGAGCAGCGGCCCAAACCTGCTGTGCTCCCCGACCCCAAAGTCTGTCTCCCGGGCTCCCCCGGCCCACCTCAGCCCTCCCTGCACGACCTCACCCAGGACATACTGGTCCTGGGCAGCGACGACGGCCCAGAGCCCGAGGCCGACGAACCCGTGGCGGGGGAACCGAAAGGGGATGACCAGGAGACGACTTGCTCGCCTCCCGCGGGGTCCGCTCCCCCTCAGCGTCGCTCCTTCCGCCGCTCCAGCTCCACCAAACCCAACCTGGAGCAGCTGAGTTCCGCTCCTGCTGCCAAAGGCCCCGCCGCCGCCAATCCCGCCAAGAATGCGGCGGACGCGGCCACTGACGCGTGCGCTGCCGGTCTGGACTTGGAAGCGCTCAGGAGACGCCACCAGCAGCAGCTCGGGGTGGGAGAGCTCCTCCTGCAGGAACTGGCCAGCCTTGGTGAGCTGCACCACGTGGAGGACCAGGACGCGCATGTGCACAAAACCGCTAAGGTCTGCTTGCCACCACCAACTTGTTGGCGGTGTTTCCTTTTGTTCATTGGCATTTGTGCATACGTGCGCAGGTGCTGGCCGCGGTCACGGACACGAGCAAAGGCGTTGGGTGGCCCGCCAGGCCAGTTCCTTTTGGCCCTTACCGCAGTCCTCTGTTGGTCTTCAAGTCTTACAGGTGAGCTTTCAAGTCCTCAATGGACTTAGCGAGATGACATGAACAACTCACTTGAGCTACGCATTGAGGGCGTAAATTCAGGAGGCCAATCAAAACATTCGATTTAAAGCCTCGTGAGGCAGGTAACTGGCGGAAAGTGATGCCCGCACATCAAGCATCTCTGCTGAGCAAACGGCGGCGAACGACTTTGGGGTCATCCGATCGCTCTGGTGGCCCATTGGCTCATAGGCTCTGCAGAGCTCGTTGCCATGACGATTCTAACGTGCATCTTGGTGTCGTGTGCTGTCCCGGCGTCAGGTTCAGCCCGTACTACAGAACCAAGGAGAAGTTGTCCCTGAGCTCGGCTACCTACAGCAACACCATCCAGCCCAAACGGTGCTTCTGCCGCTTCGACCTGACGGGAACGTGTAACGACGACGACTGTTCATGGTAAAGGGGAGGGGGGGGCAGTGTCTTCGCCGCGGTGACGAGAATAATGATGACGATGATCGCTTCCTCCTGTCCTCCTCCAGGCAGCATGTGAGAAGCTGCACGCTGACAGGAAGTCTGCTGTTCCAGGATGTGCTCTCCTACAACTTGTCTCTGATTGGCTGCTCGGACAGCAGCACGGATAGCCAAGTCAGCGCCGCCACAGGTGGGCGACCTTTATGCGTATGTGTTGTTTACATCAGAGAAGGACCGCAGCTATCCGATATTTTGCTCGTCGGATAGCCGACTGAAAATCGAGTATTCGGAAAAAAACAAAACATATTTTAGCCTGGTTAAAGAGCAAGGATGAATAGCGATGCGAAAATAACAAGTTTCACTTCATAATCCACAACCAACTGTTTTCCGATTCAGATTTTTTGTGAAATCTGAATTTTTGATGTACCGCAACTTCTAATGCCCACGCACGCCGCTTGTCGGTGATGTTAGTGCGCACAAATCAGGACATGGAGTGCTGATGGAGAAAGACAAACTTAATATTATCATGTTTCAAAGTTTCATTTCAGTATATGCTTGATTGGCCTCGAGCGGTGTGTTCTCACAACGGAGCACACAGACAAAAGGGCCAACTTGAGCTGAATAAAGCCAAGTCCTCATTAACTGATAAAGTCGACAGGAAGGTTCAACTTCGGGAGGACAACATGATAAGATGTCTTCCGTTTGTTGTCGTGTCTCAATTCATGCAAAATCTACCCATTGAAGTAACAAGGTACCCATTGTTTGTACCAAGAGATGTTTTGGCCTCTGAGGGGGCGTATCGATGGACTGGGCTGAGAGGCGTGACATGGAAATGAAGAAGGGAGTGTTTTTTTTTTTCTGAGAGGTCACTTGTAATTTGCCTACACAATCAATAAAAAGGCCAGCAGAGGCTGCAGGGGTCAGGTGTCAGTTGGTAAGCGCACACGGAGTGGCTTCGTAGAAAACTGCGCCTCCTGCCGGAAGAAAAGACAATCTCTTCCTGAGTCTGTTTGTTCAACTGTCCGAGTGAACATCTCTGACAGATGCACAAAAGACGAGGGCACGGGGCACTGTTTACTCCAGTAAACATGGTCCGTGTATGGGAAGCATCTCACAACAACAGTGGAGCGATTCGGGAGGAGGTAGAAATATTTTGGCAAAATCAATCAGATGACGCTAAAGATGACATCACGAGCATATTCAACGAACTGTGTGTGCAAATATTTTGTGCAACACCTCGACCCCCGGTGGTGCAGGGACCCCGGTTTGAGAATCACACGGGGGTTCATGATCGACATGGAAGTTGAGTTGTGAGTGTTGTGGCGTGTCGTAGAAAAGTACCTGAGCAAGCTGTTCGGTCCGCACAAAGACGGGATGGCGGTGGACCAGAAGGCCGTCTTTCTGGTCAGCAAAGTCAACGAGAGCCGTCGTCACGGTGAGCCACGTGCACGTCGTCGACCATGTCAGGAGGCGGAGCATCACGCTGACTCGGGTGCTCGCTTTGTGTGCAGTGCCGCCCTTCACCACTTGGAAGGACAAAAGGAAATGGAGGCCGTCGGCGCAAAGCGAGCGCCACGAGGACCGCGACGGCGAGGAAAATGCCGCCCTGGGGGAGCAGACGTGCGGAACATCGGGTCAGTCCCCCCGTGTGTGCACACAAATAACATGGCGCGAGAAGCCGATTGCCCCAACATACGTCGCTATGCTATATTTATACACGTAATAAGTAATCTGGCCCAGTTCCTTTCTTCGAACAGAAAAGTCGTACTCGGTGGGCCAATGACCAAAAGCGCCACCTGCTTTTTGGCCAGGGCCACATTTTGTATTCCCCGAGATGGTCGCTGGCCCGGGGCCAACGGACAGTTGGACCGTTCCTGCGTCTGCATTCACGTGGCCCTTCGTGTGTTAGCAGACGTTGGCGTTTGCTCGTTGGACGCGTGCGTGACGTCTGAGGACAAGCGTTACTTTGTCAGCGACACGGACGACATCTGCAAGCTGGAGAGCAGCGTGTCGGACAACCCCGATGACACGCAGCTGTGGATCAAGCTGGCCTTCAGATACCTCCACCAAGGCGACACGTACGCCACCGTGCGCCCCGTCTCGCTCGCCCGCCGGCCACACCGCCTGTCTTGACTGCGTCTTTTTTCCTTTTGCCAGGCCGCCTACCGAGTGCTTGGAGGCAGCCCTGAACACGTTGTCTCGAGCGCTGGAGAGTAACTGCGACGACCCCGAAGTGTGGACGCACTTCCTGACGCTCTTCTCTCGCCGCGGACGCCGCGACGAAGTGGAGGAGATGTGCCAGATGGCCGTGGAGCACGCGCCGCACCACCGCGTCTGGTGGAACGTGAGTGAGCCTCAGACACGCGCCCCACACACACAGACCTGCGTCCTCGGGACTCAGGACGCGTGGAAGACTTTGTCCCTGTCCCGTGTGGTGTCCAGTATCTGAGCTTGGCGAGCACGTTTGAGGCGAAAGACTCCGTGTGCGAGCGTCTCATCGGCTTCCTGCTGGGCGAGGAGTGCGGTGGGGCGTCCGAGGAGCGCTCCTTCCAGCTGTTGGAGGCGCTGCTCTACCGCGTCCACTTGAACGTTTTCCCGGGCCGTATGGCTGCCGGCCCGGGCATCTTCCCGGTAAGCCTCCCCCTTTTCGCACTTCACGATTTCCC